TCAACTAATCAAAGTGATGTCATGACAAAAATGAATGACCAACAAAACATTTTTCTCCTTCATTTCTGTCAAACAAAGCTGTATGTGACGTTTCTCGCGGTTAGTATCATGGTTGCTAGGCAACCTGAACAGCGCAACGAAGGGCTAGATCGTCCCATTTCACAAGCCTCTCACTTTCGCACTTCTCGTACTTATAGTACGCGCCGTACGTAGTACACGTAGTGCGCGTACTTCAAGCGTGCACACCCTGAATTGAGACACAGCTATAGACATTCACACATGCACATACACACAAGTGGAGGTGCTATTACTAAATGCTGATGTGCCACTGAGTGAATGAAAAATGTGGCTCCAATCATAACTCACAAAAGACAGCTAATGAGTTTTAAGACGAACACTGATAGAATCTGCTGGAAGCAGCAGATGCTGCTTTTCATGAACTTAAGCTCGTTTATACATTTTTTAAACTATTTCTTTTTTACATTCCTGCATACTTTGAAATATGCAACATTTTTTCTTGATATCCAACTGAATCACCTATAAAATAAAAATATATAAATATGGAAAATCACTACCTATCTTTGGCTAGTATAGTACCTGAGTTGGGCACAATAAGCTGTCCTCCCTGGGAGCTGAACGAGCCCAGAGCAGTGCATGATGGATCCCTGGTGCGGAGCAACGTCTGGGTCTGTGTGCGCCGGCCCATTGTGTTGTCACCATTGTCCAGTAGGCAGTGCGGCAGCTTAGGTGACAGTTTAGAGGAAAATTCTCCTCCTAGGTCATCCTGTGGAGTCACTAAGCCTGAAGAATTGTACACCTTAATCTTCAAGTTAGGGAGCGGGTCAAGCAGAGGAGAATTGGTCATGGGTATTTTGTCACCCACGTCATGGAGAGCGTAAACTGGGCCGCGGTACATGGCAGCTGCTGAGGTCAGGTCAGGGGGTGCTGATAGGAGATCAGCTGAAAAGGAAAGAAAACAACATGGGTAAAGTAGAATAAATGTCTTAACACATGTATTGGGAAAGGAATCAGGAAGAAACTAACTTGAAGCCTATATATCCATGAGGAAATGAACTGCTGGCAGCAATCAGTGAGACTGCAGCACGGCTTTTTTGTTTTTTACTCATTAGGGAGGTCCACTTCACCACCAAGAAACATTACTCAGTCAGAGAAGTTATAGGTGCAGCTGTGATTTATGAGTAACAGATGGCATCGTGAATGTTCGGTTTACCCAGTAGGATAAATGTTCAATAGCTGGACTGAGTGGGTGGAGCGAGGGTCAGTGGGGGCCTCTCTGTCCTCCAGCTTCTCCACTGTCTCCACCCCCTCACAAGTTTCTAAATGATGCAGATGTTAATGAGAGTCAGAAAAGTTGTTCCAGTAATAAATTAGAAGTAGTGCAAGTACTAGTGTGTCACTGGAGGGCATGTTTTGCAACATCCATCTCCAAGAATGTATGGACCATATTTTCACAATCTGTATTAGGAAATTAAACAAAATATGCTTCTGCTCTCATCATATAAAACTGTATATTTTCCTCAGGTTTCCCCCCAAAACCAGGTTTCAGATAACCCCCCTCCCCCCTCTTTTGTTAATTAGATTGCACAGGTGCCACGGACTGCAGGATGAAACTGAGACCTACTTAACAAGGGATAATCTCAGCTAAGTGTCGCATTAACGTGGCTTGCAGGCTTAAGCTCAAGTCAAAATGTCATGACCAGCAAACAAGATTTGAGCAAAATATCACAGAAACTCAAATTGCACCACTTCTTGGTAATTAAAGCTAACACAATCATCTCCTAGCACATCATTAATGCCTGTGTCTAGCACTGTAAAACGCAAAATTTCAGTGATTTCCTTAACTGGTCTGCTTCTATTCAAACACCAGTTCCCACACCATCTTTCCTACTGTATATTTGACACAGAGACATGAGAATTTGTTACACACTGCCACATTTCAGAGCAGAGAGCTGTCAGCAGAGATCCGACCTTGTTATAGTTCACATACTCTGTCAAATTAGATCAATCATGTCAATTTTTCTTTGCATGTAGGAATATTTCCCCTATCACTGTTGCTCCTGCACACAGCACGCGCTCCGATGGCAACACTGAAATAAGGAACCCCCCCTCCCCAACATTACAAATTCCAATTTAACCCTTGTTTGCACTGAGCACTGTGTGGAGGATGTGTCATTTCCACCCATGAATTATCTTCTTCACAGCAAATTGTGTGTGATGTGCTTTATGCATGCTTCATACAGTATATAGAACATAAATTACAGCTTTTAGTAGGCTACTTTAGGAAAGACAGAGATAAGGTGGAAGTAAAGTGGATCAACTTATATGATTCCTCCAACACCACTGTTTTTTAAATCACCACCAATTGTTTCTGTCACAATCAGGTGGTTCAAACATATGAAATATGAAAAACCCCACAGTATCATCTATCTATATTATAATACTTAATATATTAACTATATCTGTAAAGGTGAAGGATAATGTTGTATTTAAGACTAAGGATATATAATCAACAGAAAGTAAAATGATTTAAATATAATGTTATTCATATAAATTCAGCTTCATTATACAGTTTCAGAGTTTGGATTTCTTTTAGAAAATAATAAATAAATAAAAAAAGCTTGAATATTGGCAGATTCTTTAACCTAAGTGCCTTCTGCTCGGGAGCTGTTTTAAATAGGCTTGGCTTCAAATTATCCTTTACTTTATAAGAGCGGTGACAGAAGCAACACCTTTGACAAGGGTTGTTGTTCGATGGTGTTTATCTTTTTGAATTGTCCCACATTAAAAAGCTTCCTCTCTAGTCTCTTCATTGTATTTTTATCTCTTCTGCTTTTATTTATTTATTTATTTTCTCTTTCCAAAAGCTCACACTAATCATTTACAACACAGTTACATATTTCTGTCTCTCTCCCTGCTGTCTTTTTGGCCAGTTCACAGTGACCTGTCCTCATGCATGTAACTTACTTTAAGTCCTGCATCAACAGTCCAAATCTAATTACACAGAGACTGGCCTTATTGTGCTTTAATGACTGGGCATAATGTGGCCTCCCATCACAACAGCAAGCATTTTAATAGTTTCACCACGGCTGACGCACATGCTGCCAGAGTCAGACGTGTCTCAGTGGGTTAAGGTAATGTTTTGAAGATAATGAAGCCATTATTAATGCCAGTACTAATGAAAGTCATTCCATATGCCTGACAACACAGGTGTGTCTAAGGTCGAGTATTACATTTTTTTTAATCTGCTGAACTGAGTCTGTACCATTAAGTAGCAACACCTTTACTAAAAGAGGATTGAATTGTGCTTAAGCTTCAACAATACATGGAGCCACTTTCTGTATCTTAATTTTACAGAAACAAAATATTCAGTTTTTAACACGGTTTTTGGGCAGGTTTTGAGAAAACATTTGGCACATTAGGTTCTTTCAAAACTTTGTGCATTTAAGTTTTGCCTCATTTGTTAAATTTATTACACTTCTTGGTAAAATAATAGCTATTTCCATGTGTGGGAACAGCTGCCACAGCAAAAGCAGACTGTCTGATGCAAAAAAGAAGTCATCAAGGAATGCTTGAAAACTTGATCCCATGATTTGCGGGTTTATTTTGCAACTGTTGGGATGCAAGTGCTTGAATATACAACCAGAAAATCTTAAAATCTGACGTGCGTGAGAGGCGTTCCAGGAAAAAGTTGAAAAGTTGTCCAAAAAGAACATTAGAGCAAAATCACAGCTGGCCAGTGAACAGACAGGTACAAACCAGACGCATCTTGGAATAGTGTGATGTAGACAGGCGAATCGAGGGCAGAACTGTTTGGTCAGAATACAAAAAAATGTTTGGCGCAGACCAAAAACAGCTCACCAAATGTAATGGATTAGGGTTAGCTGCATCTGGGACCGGGCAGCTTGCAGTGATTGATTTAACAATTAATTCTTCATGATATCAAAGAGCAAATGAAGATATTGTGAGACCATTTGCCCAAAAGCTGAAACTAAACCATCAATGGACATTTTAACAGGATAATTATACTAATGACAAAAGGAAATCCACTAATAATGGGCTCAAAAAGAACAAATGGAGGGCTATAGAATCCCATTCAAATGGCCTTTTCTTCAAATATCTTCCAACTGAAGGGACTTTTACTTGGAAAAATGGTAAAAAATTTTAAGACAGTGACACAGTTACGGATCTAATAGTTCCTTGGATTAAAGGGGGCAACTCTAGGACAGCAAAGGTGCACTTACCTTTCACACAGAAGAAAGTTTAATCTATTTATGTACCGATTTGAGATGCATGTTACATTTTGATATATAGCAAAACCAACGCTCAAACACTCACACACGCCTCTCTCGTATAACTCACCTTTGCGAGCGGTCTTAATGCTGACCGGCTGGAACCCTCCGTTGAGGGCAGAGGAATCAATGATGTCAGAGCTGAAGTCCCGGTGGTTCTTCCTGTAGATGAAGAGTGCCACAACGACGGAGATAACCAGGCACATGATCACTGCTATCACAATACCCACATAAAGAGCTACATCATCAGTAGACGGGGCCACTGGAGGAGTTTGGGGACGAAAGACAAAAAACACAGACAGAAAAAAAAATTGTCTTTTAAGATCTTGTAATGCTTCCATTTATGACATAAAGCCTTTTTCTCTCAGTATGCAGGACTTGTGATGAAGCCATTATCAGCAGGGTAATATCCTGGTTTACGATTGAGCCGGATATTAATAACTATCTACTGAGAAATAAATGCACGAAGTATAGCTCCAGTCTTTTTTGATTAATGCTGACCTGCTGTGGGAAACACAGTTCATGAAAAAAACACGAGGCTCTCTTGATTGTTAAAACTGAGGCGAGATAATGATGCAGGCAACTTAGTTTGACACACATCATCGGGCCTTTTTTCACTGTTTGCTTTGGACATGTGCGACACACTAAAAGGCACGCCAACATCTGTTCACTGTCTTGAATGCGAATGTTAAAAATGGCCTCAGAATTCTTGAAATAATACATACTGCACTGTGTCATGTGATAAAATAACAATGTAATAACAATATAATAAAGTAAATGGTGACAACAATTCATTTAAACAGCACAATTAATAAAGAAGGCTGTTCCACCACAGTCCAGTGACACAAAGATTTCTGCTCAGAACCAAGATCAAAAGTTCTGAAGACAGAGATGTCGATGTTTTCATCTTCAAATTACCATGCTCTGTGCTGAAGTTCAGAGTCTGTCTCTGTTTTTGTTCTTACACACTGCAGATAAGATCTAGACATGGCTCACATTTCTCAAATTGTCTTTCATCTCCGTCTCCCTCCCAGAGACTTTCTGTCCACTATCCAGCTGGAGAAGCCTCAGTGATTAGTAGGCCTGGCATGGATATATGTGCCTTTTAGAAATACAGACTCAGACAGGCTCTCATTAAAAGATCAAACCTTTTAATGGATGCCTACTGACAGTCTGAACTCTCTTTGGTGTTTGATAAGGAATGTCCTTCACTGTCACCAAGTTGACAAATGGGGGTAAAGCTCTTATGTGGAGGACACGAAATGTCAAAAGGCATGTATGAGCATGTATGCACGTATTGTTCAACACATGCATGGACATTGCACAAGTGAAGTCATTGTCCAAAGAAAGACAAACGCCAAAGCAAATGCTTACAAACACACTCTTATCAACAGGAGAACCAGAAGGTGTTGTGATCGGGCAGACACAACAATTTTTGAGATGATGTGTGTGTTTAAATTGCACAATATCTGCACCAGTAGATGGCAGTGTCACCCATAAATCCATACAGGGCACTTTGAAGACGTGCATGATGGCCGAGCATTTGTGTAAATTAGCCTCGTGTGTCTCAGGGATACAGATGGCACTCAGTCTGTGTCTCTTGTGTTCTCGTGCACAAAGGACGATAAAGGAGCGGAGCGAAAGGAAACCAAGAGCAGAGTGCTTTTGTGACAAGTGAAAGTCACGAGTTGTGTCATTTTAATCACATACTTCCTTTCTGGCTTCTTTTTCAGTAACTTATGGTTTGATGTTAATTCCACGAAAAGGATTTCAATGTAATTAAATAAGTCCACTATTCAACACTTTATTTAAATCATATTACATTTAATTTCTTGATGAATCCCTATTGAATAATATTCAGAGTGACCTCCATTTCAATTAAAGATCATTTCTGTAATTTTTATTGAAAGACTTCTATTTAAGTGGGGAAAAAAGGGTATTAATATTGTAGTGCTCCCATAGATGTTTTCTGTGAGGAAGGACATGCATGTCCTAGCCATGACTTTTCAGCCTGGAGTGAGACATCGCATTAAAGATACATCCTCTAATCCTTCCTCTAGTGCAGACACAAACAGAAAACAGAGCAGGGAGTCAGTGATGAAAGTTTGAAAATGTAATTTCACTGCGTTCCCTCTGCCAAGCTTCCCCGCAGTTATTTAACATATATCGCCTCAGTTGAATAATCTTCTATTCATGCTTTGATGATAAAGGCAGCAACCTGCTAAGTGTACGCATTAAAACGTATCACTTAGATTAATACATCGCTTTGAACGTGAGCCATTGTTGGAAAGTACAAGAAATGAAACTGAAAGGGATTATTGAACACTTCATTCTCAGCGAGGTTGCAAAAATTTACAAAGGGATGGGTGAGAGATGAAAGTAATAATTAAGAAAAATCTTAAAGCAGCCGAAATCCACAGAAGAACTGTGCAAGAACAACCTACAAAAATTCTTCTAGCTGAGAATTTATATATATATATATATATATATATATGCACACACAAATACTGAGGATATTTTTATGAGAACTGGTGATATTTTAAAGCAAATGGAGGTCACAGCAAATATTATTTTGAGTTTATGCTCTTGCCTGGTAACTGATCAATAAACAATGTTCATTTCCGAAAGCTTTTACTATCTGGTAGGTTAAAATGTCTGCTTGACACGATGCATGAGCCGCTGGTGAGGCAAAGTTCGCCAGGGTAAAGAGCAGGGTCAGCTCTTACTTCGAGAATAGTAGCGTGGCTGTAAACAAGCAGCCTGCTAGCACAGACACATTATGAGGAAAGGGTTAGGGCGATCAAAACGGATCATATCCTGAGGTGGTTATGAAGTAAAAAACAGAAGAGCAACAATAACTCGCAGATGGACACAGAAGAACATTCGCAAACATTGTTTTTCATTTTACTTATGGACACGTTGTTGTGTTTTGTTTTATGCTTTTAGTGCAAAATGGCTATTTCTGAAATGTTGCTTTTTGCTAAAAAGGAGGATCTGTATGTAAGACTGCAAATTCAGGTCGTGCACATTAAAGCATTAAAGATGCCTTTAAAAAACAAACAAAGGCAGACGTGAGAAGAATGCAGAAATAATGAAAAAAGAACGAAATGGGGGGGGGAAAAACAAAACAAAACAATAACTCACATGAATTTCCAATATCACTCTTGTCTTTTGCCTCAGAGGACTTCTGATATAAGGAACCTTGAAGAGAGAAGCGGATATGGATAGCAGAGAGAGAGGTATGGAGAAGGGGAGGGAAGAGAGAAAGATGAGGGTGGGGGGGAGGAGAGGGATGATGAAAATCAAATTTCCAACAGAAAAACAAACTCAACAAATGAGACAGCAACAAACTCATGAGTAGGAGTGATGGCACGGGGAAGCGATCTTTCTTGATTTGGCCCCTCCTCTCTATATCTGTGTATGGAGATGGATGAGGAGAGCAGGGGAAACATGGAGGTTCTGTAAGAGAGTGGCACGATCCATCAACTGGGCTTAGTGCCTTAGCAGCAGCAGGACTGATGCTGGCAGGTGAGGGGGATGGAGGGGCTGATAAAGTGTGGGCTCCAGCCGAGTCGGCAGAACCTACAGCCTTTCATCTGTCACTGGAAGGTGGATGGAGAGGGTAGTGCGCGAGATAAAAGGAATGATTATGTTAGGGAAGCAGGAAGTGGAAAAGGGCTGAAGGACAGTGATGTGGAAAGTTGAAGACATGCGATTGAGAGATTAGAAAAATCTTCAGCTAAGATAGGTTGTTTTTTTGGTTTTTTTATATGTGTATGTGTGTGTGTGTTTTTTGGCCCAAACTGGGGTCTTGGTAGGTTTTTGTTGTGGCCAGGTTTTTTACTGAAATGAAGTGCAAAGCAGGCTAGAAAGACAGAGCCAGGAATAGTGCACAAGCACACATAATATTCAGTCTCCCTGGGACATCCATAAACAACTATACAAACAATGAAGTCCTTATTGGAAAAGAGAGAGAGCCACAGGCAGACAAGTGGACTGACAGGCAAATCAATGGCCTGATAGATGGGATTGGTGTGTACATGTAATCAGGCAACCGGGATGCCGGGACGGAGCAGGGGGTGGTTGGCTGTTGCATTCAGTCTAACTGATGGCCCATTTGAACCCATCCTGTGGAGTTTCTATTCAGCCCAACCGAGTCTACAGCACAGCCGACATAAAGGCATGCTTCAGTGGGTGGGCTCCGAAGGAAACGTCAGAGCGCCGAAGTTTATTCTTTATTGGCAACACAGAGCTGGGAGAGGAAGAGGGAAGCATAGTACAGGAAATCATTGTCTGTGTTTTAACAATTACTCCTTTGAATGTGACAGATTTCCAATCTCTGGGAAATACACTGTCATTTGGGGAAGAGAAAGTCATTTGTCACGTTATTTAAAGGCTCCTTACTCTTCTATGTTTAATGAAATTGCTAATTACATGACAAATAATATTTATTGACATTTTAACTAATCTTTGAAACCTCATATAAAACACAGAGGATATAACTTTATGGCGTTTGGAGGCTGAACTGAAACTTAAGAGTCTGAACTGAGGCTTAGGAGTCACGGCTGTCCTGCCTCTGGTGTTCGATAGCAATGAAGCGTGTCCCCTTGCTGGAGTCGGTGTTCCCCTCTCTCTAGATCAATATGTCAGAGAAAATGTCGTGTCAGAGAGCAGGGTTACCAAAGGCTTGAAAAACAACATCAGTATCAAGAGCTGCAGACCACAGGGGGAGCGCAAAATAGAGATTTAGACAGGTCAGGCTAAGTGAACAGTGAAAACTCTACATGTGTAAGAGTTGGGAACTTCTCTCTAAACACGCAGAGTGCAACCTTTCTAGATCAATTTAAAGACACATAACTTTGTTAAATCCAACCCCTCCCCCCCCAGAAAACTCCCTGGCAGTCTAAATGTGATAAACAAGCTGCAAAGTTAATTATAACAACTCTTTTTGACGCGAGTCAGTTGTATTTGTGCAGGAGGCAGTGATGGAGCTGAGCACCACGTTCTATTTCAAGGTCTGGTCTATCAAATTCCTTCGGTGGATTTCGGTGATGGACTGCAATTGAAATGATTTAAATAAATTCAAACAACAGAAAATAAGATCAAGCTGCAATGGAATCCACAGACACGTGTTTGCTCAGATCACGGTCCTGCACTAGAGGGAGCAGACCAGCGGTCCAAGGTGAGTTCAGATTGCACACAACTTCCATTCCCAATCATATTTGCCATAACATGAGCTTTCAGATAATGGGCCGTTCTCCTAAATGCTTGTGGAAATGGTCATTAGCATTGACATAAGTGGCTTCACCCTTTTAGCTTCCCCCCAAAAAAAGAAAAGAAAGAAAATCAATCTCTGAAATGATCCTAAATCTATATCATTATGGCTTTATATTCTCTGAAAACTAGCCATCAATCTACCAAGAACTAATGCTTTTGGTGTAGGCTGAGTTGCAAAGGGTGTACAGAAGGGCAGGGAAGTGTGGGGTGAACATATGTTGTGTTGCAGAGGGAAATAAAACAAGACGAAGAGAGACAAATAACAGCACATCTGTCACGGCCTTCTTATTGATTTTTTTCTCTCTCTCTCGTGCTTCTATATGCCGTTTACATACGTGCTCCCTCTCGTAATGAGCTAATGCAACCTCTCTCTGATGTTAAAACGTTTCCTGAACATCGTCCTTAGCACATATAGAACATGCGTGTGACGGCAGGCATTTACTTCAGAGGCATACAGATCCACCAGCCATCTGCATCTGAAGATGTAACCTACGCTACATCACATCGACAGGTAGCGGTTTACAACTTTATGGTGCAGCAAAAACTCAGATCTGCTGCACACAGCAGTTGCTAGCTGTCTCAAATTTTATACATCTAGCAGCTGAGCTGCTGTTATATTATTAGTGTCACATCACCATCTGTAATAGGTTATACACACGACAGAGGCATTTGTGACAGCGATTGGGTCCTACACCTACAGAGATGTTTATTAAATAGGAATTTGATTCAACTAGACACAGAGTTTAATTCACTTACTCTGCGACGCTCTCTCCCTTTCACAGACTCTCTCTTTTTATTAAAGGCACAGAATCACTACTAGCACTTTTGGTTTAGTTTTGATGTTTTAGGATGTAGGTGTTTCACCCTGTAACAACATAATACTGCAGCACGCATGCAAACACATGCAAACACATACACACAAACGTGCATCAAAGCAACTGCGGCTCGATTCTAATCTGTGAATGTGTTATAAGGCAGAGGAAGCAGGATTGTTGGCTTCACTGGAGTGCGTGGCTGTTTTTAACTTCACTGGAACAAAGAGGAGAAGAAAACAATTCTCTGCCTGCAGAAAAATATCTGGCTGCACCACAAACTGGCTTTAGTTTGCTACTTGAAAGACAAAGTAAAAGCAAAGAAAGAAAAATGCTGGTGCATCTGGATGTCTTTTGCGGTTTTTTAAGTTATTGTAATACCAAATGATATGTATTTGTTCACTTTACAGTGAACATAAAGGCCAGCTCGGAAAAGAGGGCGAGTCCAAACACGTGCTACTTTGTGGCCTTGCGTTTCCTATCGTTGGACGCAGGAATCCAGAGTTTTTCAATAAAGGTAGTAATCAAAGCAGTTTAGTCGTTGTGCCCACTCCCCTTTCTGTAATTAGTGCATAATGACTTATTATTTTCAAATATACCTCCCACATTCTTAGCTTATGACAAGGATAATTAGTTAGATTGCGTCCTCTTGCGGCCAAGCACTTTTTTTTTTAAACATGTACTTATGCTTGCAATAGAACTGACACAGGAAGATGTGTGGTGGTTCTTGATTTTATGTTGCTTTGATCAAAAACGCTTTTGTCTGTTGTGTACATAAAAATAAAGAGAAACAGATCAAGTGCAGAGGACAGAGAGGCGTTTCGGCTTGTCTTATCGTTTATGTATGAGTGAAGTGAAACAGACTGGGTGAGGACAGGGTGAGCGTGTTATGTGAGGATGTGAAACACAGCGCGCAGTGATGAAAGAGCACAGTGAAAGTCCCGGTCAAAGGGTGAAGAGATTTCTTTTGTTGGCAGGTCAGACAGTCGCAGAGGATTAATCGGGTACTCACTCTGCATGCACAGCCCATCGGTGCAGTTCTTAGACTGGAGCACCATGCCCTCACAGTCCTTTCCCCCGTTTTTGGGTGCTGGGTCGCTGCATTCTCTCCTCCTCCAGTGGGTGCACTCTGTCCCACAGGTGGACCACTTACTCCACTCTGTCCACAGGCCATCCACTATCACATAACAGACAGGACAGATGAGGGTCGAGTGAACGAGATGGCAAATGAGAAGATGAAGATGAATTTAGCGCGCGAGCAGGGGGAGTGGGTGCGGTGGACGCACAAACAGGACGGAATTTGTGCAAACGTACAGAGTCGCATCAAATTGAATGCATTTCGTTTATGTGCACCTGAACTCAACACGCCCACGTACTGATGGGCGTGTTATCATTTTAATACCTGGGCAGAGAGGATTACACGGTAGCTTCTGGATGCCTTGCCCTTCACAGATGGCACCGCCATTGAGTGGCGCTGGGTTAGTACAGCTGCGTGTGCGTTTCTGGTAACCACGCCCGCAGCGGCTGTTACACACTGACCACTCTGTCCATGTCGACCATCCACCATTCACTGGAAACACACGGTGGTAAAACATGTTAAATATAACTTGATTATGGTCTGTGAAACTGTTAAATTGAATAATAAAATAAAACACAAATTTGTGTGAATTAGAGTGAAAGAACTAAACCCATGAAATTAAAAACTCTTCATGTTTGTTTTCTGTGACCAGCTCATTAATTTGACTGTCTAAGAAAGCCCAGCTCATAGGTTCAAGTGATTCGCCTACTATAAAATGTACCAATATTGTTCATTTTGTTTTGCATTTTGACCTTAAACTATCAGGCAATTACTTTGCACTGCAGACAGACAGTAAATTCTGGTCAGACTGCTGCATTTTCCATTCACTGATTCCCTCTAATGCCTCTCTTCCCTCTCTCATCCATCTCTGTCAGCGACTAAATCCAGCGCGGAGTGACATCAGGGCTTGTGGCTGAGAACAAGTCTGTGGCATTTCAGATGGTGGAACCAGGCCCCTTGGAGTCTCAGACCTTCAAATGTGACATGCTTATGAGTGAAGCCCAAAATATTGGACTCTGGGGGAAGACCCACATTTATTTACCGTCTGCTTTGTCTCCTCCATGAATAAAGGCTCTATCTTCTGTCTTTCGCGCCTCTTTTTTTCTTCTTCTCTCCCTGCCATTTTCTTCTCATCAACTTACTGTTTCTAGTATCTTTGTCTGGGATTTTGCTGGAAACCTCTGGGATATAAACATGCTCCCTTTCCTTCTAATTTATATATCACTAGTATTAGGCATAGCCCTTATTCTCTAGGTTTTCTCACACTTCTTTGCAGGGAAATGTGTATACTTTCACGTACAGTAATATTGTTCAATAGTACTGTCAACTTATGCTTCCCCTTTCCAAAAGAGACTTATTTCCAAAACAGCTGAACGACTGTGTAAAATGCAAAAGATTTGCAAAACTATTTTTGTTTTACATTGAAACAAATGTTTCCAACAGGTCTGAACCAAAGGCAGGCCAGTTTAGCACCTGGACTACAGACTTACTACAGACCCATATCCAAAACATGTACATACTGTTTAGCATCAACAATGCTGGTCACATATACCATGTGCACTAATGTTCCCCCCATACCATTTCTGATACTGATACTTTTAAGCTGTGCACCGGCCACAAGACCACCATCCTTCTCACCTTCAGCTCATCGCCCACAGGATGAGGCAGAGAGAAAGCTGCAACGTTTCTGGATCTTATTTTTATACCATTTGTTTTTATTTGCAGAGGTTTTCAGAAGTGTTTCTGAACTCAAGCTGTGTTTTCCACTTTTCCACTACAGAATCATATCTGGTGCCACATGAGCAGCCAAAGGACACAGCCATTCAATAACAATTTGCAGACTTTACCCTGGTGTGCTGAGATTTATCCAAATTCTCTGAATCCTTTAATGATATTACAGTATATTATAGATTAACTGAACAGATCGTAAGAGGTTACTCCAGGGGGTCCTGATTCACTTTTTAGCAGCATTAAACAACTGTTTTTTGTTGGCCTATCCAATATTTTGACATGTTCAGCTTTTTCTTTTAGATGAATATAGCGTTTAACTGATTTATAGGTCAGTGCAATCTCTTTCACACTTAAGACAGAGTCCCATCCTTTTTAGGTAATCAGGGTATACATGAATGCTTGTGTAGTCCTCTTTGGAAAGGAAAAGGACAGGCTGACATCAAAGTGCTTTTTTGACACTTGGCTCTAATATACTCTGCTAGTAACATGAAATTCTTGAGGAGACACTTGTCTCACTGCCTTCCTATTATGATACTAACCATGCAGTAAGTCCAGGGAAGAGATAAGGGAACATGATGAGAAAATTCTGGCTTTGAAGCTAAACTCTGATAATGGTATCAGACATCTGGTCACCTTTATGGTATGTGCACTATATGCACATCTGTATTTATACGCCACCTTCATTTAGAAATATCCATTACACTGTTCGTGCAAAGTGAATAAAATCTGTAAGCACTTCTGCACCTGAAAGAGGGCAGTTGTTTTATTATTCAGTTTTTAGAGTTAAATTGGCAAAGCCATGAAAAGTTCTATCAAGCACAGGATGAACTCTGCTGGCCTCAGTTAAATGAGCTATCAAGCCAGTAGTCATTTATAAAGAAAAAAAAAAACAATGTCTGAGGTTCAAAGGAACATTTGCTTCACGTGTCATTTGTTCTGTCTTAAGTAGCCTCCAGCAGCTGTTGAAGTTTAACGTCAGAACCGTGCTGTGCAATAACAGTCATGTTAGCTGATGTTAGAGAGACAGTGCGCGAGCCTGCGTGAAACCACAGCAGGGGTCTCTTTAAGTACAGCTCAGCCACATCAGCACCTCTGCAGATCAAAAAAGAGAAAAAAAAAACAAATCTTCCATTCCTTGCACACCGTCTGGCAGGAACAAAATGAGTGAATGTTACACGCTCCAGGAGAGAGAGAGAGGGAGATTTGATGTATGCAGAGTGACTTTGAAATTTGTTTTTACTTTGAGCCGAGCTGAACTTCATAAAGGAAGTTTCCTCAACACTAGTGTCTCACTTTACTAATCAGCCGTGTGGTTAGTAAGAACAATGAGCTGGTCGGACACATGTAAACAACTTTGAATTGTATTAACGTGTAGAAAGGTAAGACTGTAGGTTACCATAGACAATAACTGTGGCAGTTGTGCTGCGTCTTTTCGCCACAATGTTCTTTGCCACACAGGTGTAGTTGGCCGTGTCAGAGAGGCGAGCCTGTTTAATAATGAGGTTGTGGTCGATGGTGATGTAGAAGTTTCTGTCGTCTGCAGGGTCGATAACCTCCTCGTTCTTAAGCCACTCCACCTACAAAAAACAACAACAAAGCAAATCAGGAAAGTGAGAAAGAAAACTGCGAGCTTGGAGGCAACAGAAATGCATTTTTTTTTTTAAAAAAAGGAGGATGTGAAAGGAGATATAAGACAGTTTGACCTCATTAAATTGTACCAAAAATCAAAGTGAAGTGTTTAAACAGTGATCGTTTTTGTGTAGTTTCTGTCTAACCTCTCAAATAACTTAGAGTGCCAGGATTACTATGTTTACTCTGAGGTCCTGCTACAAAAAGTCAATAGCTATCATGCTTTTTTTATTCTCCCCCTAGAACAAAGCGCCGCAGTAACAGCAGCGCTGTCAGACAACAGAGACAAGAAAACTCTCCAGAATTCCTCAGGCTGAGAAGCTCTCTGACCTTTTCTTTTGAGTTTCATTTTTCCAAATGAAACTGATATTGCACTCCAGGCACTATCGCGGAACAGAAGATCATTTGGAGCCTTTATTTGCTGTAATTCACCGAGATCCCTTTTCTCTCTTCAAGAAGAGAGAAAAGAAAAACATGTGCCGCCTCACAGTCCGCAGCCAGTTTGATTCAAAATATTTCCTGGTTCTCTGGTTTTCTTCAAAGAAACTGTCCAGTGATGAAGAGGCCTGGCAAACAGCTAACTTCCTGTGCATTGTGATAGCCCATGAGTAACAGGGCCTGATAAGAGATAAGACACCAAGGAGGACTACAGAGAAAGATAAGCAGGATGTTTATAAAGGGGCTTTCTCATGAGAGATAGAATATCGCAAAAAGTAGGGCAATAACCTGATATGAGACTGGCCAAGACAAAACAGTCACTGTTGTTTTTGAATTTCTTAGGCAACAACACAGAAACAGCATTTTGTGCTGTGAAAACGTACAATACACTGGCCATTGTTATAAGACCGGCATTGTTAGGAGTTTATCAAAAGAGAATACAGACCCACTATGACATGCACTGGGATATCAGCATCACCGGCATCGCACCTCAGCAAGACTACCTGCTCTTTCTTTTTCTAGTTTTTGCTATGTAAAGGTTATCTTATCTTAAAATAGAGACTTTAAATACTTCCTTTCACAGTTAATTCTCAGTAAACACGTCCCAAATTGTTGCACACAACACATCAACAGGCACTTATCCCCATCACACGCTTACATCGGAAAAAACACGGGGTTTAACACAAGATCAGCAGAGCATTTCAGTGAACCACTGTAAGCTTAATGTATATTCACTGTTGATTTGGTGCTTATGAATTTCTTCCTCTATAAACACGTATCAGTCGAATCAATGTCACAGAGCCACGAGGGACGCAGTTCCATCACTTGCAGTCTATTAAATATAACTAAACATTTCTCTCCCTTGAGAACAAAGTGCAGCATGACAGACTGTATTTTGCAATATATAGGAGATACATCATTCACAGATACATCATTATTTAAAAAATAATAATTTCTGCAAGGAACTCATGCAAAAAGAAATCTTTTATGTTAACCTAGTTCATTAGACTTCTGTCTAGATCATTAATAAAAGCAGAGTTTATACACACACACACACACACACACTTATCCAGAAGGGTAACACATCATGTCATTCAGCTCCATTCACGTATTCAGTCTATTCAAATGTCCTCTACAGCAGCGGTCCCCAACCCCCGGGCCTTGGACCGGTACCGGTCCGTGAGTCGTTTGGTATCGGGCCGCGAGATTTGAGGCTCAGGTGTGAAATGTATGGTTTTCAGGGTTTTTATTGGTTTTCAGCGTTATTTTGTTATCGTTTTTAGCGTTAACTCGGTTTTCCTGGGTTTTTTTCACGTGTGTTATGAATAACGCTTCTATTTTTCAGTAGCAGTACTAGTTTTATTTTGTTGTATTTTTCCGCAACACCTTAAAGGCCGGTCCGTGAAAATATTGTTGGGCATAAACCGGTCCGTGGCGCAAAAAAGGTTGGGGACCACTGCTCTACAGTCACCAGATCTCAATCCAATAGATCACCTTTGCAATGTGGTAGAACAGCAGATTTACATCATGGATGTACAGCTGCTGAATCTGCAGGAACTGTGCAAGAATTAGGACAGATTGAGGGTAAAAAGGGGTCCAATCTGGTACTAGCAAGGTATACCTAATGAAGTGGCTGGTGAGTGTTTATAGTTAGTTGTTGTTTAAATTATTTTGACAGCAGCTCAGGTGGCAGTCAGACATCTTCTACAAAGTTTCTCTTATTATATACCGACACAACTAAGTCACATATGCTGTGTACATTACCACGATCTCACTACAAAGATGGCAATAACAAACTGTAAAAATATAACAAGAAGGTTTATATTCTATACATATGTATAGATTTCTACGTATATTTATATATGTAGAACTGACTAATTTAAGTGCAGGCATCAGGAGAGTTACTGAGTACGGGTCCCATACATTTTCTATGCATGTGTCTGTCACCCTCAGTCTTTAATAATGAATAAAACTCTGAAACATTTTGAGCACTACCAGAAAGAAGAACCCCCATGTTCAGAGAACAAAGATTTGACAGTGATCAGCCATTTTTTGTCTTTTGTTCCCACACACAAGCAATACCAAAAGCAAACAATCTAATGATGCAAAAAGGAGAAACAATGGCTGTTTTTTTGTTTTGTTGTTGTTGTTGTTTTTGACATAAATATTTTCTCTTTTGGTGCCTGCATCAGTGTGTGTTGGGCACAGGGAATTAAAAAGTGAAAGGTCTCTTCTTAGAATAGAGATTGACAGTTGATACAAAGAGGTGGTTATCCAATTTTGCACCAATCACAGAGGCTGCCTCTTCAAATTTGCTGTGTTCAGATGTCAAGAGCACTTTTATATGAGAAGGTAATTAAAAATTGAACAAAAGCGCTTTTCAGTGCAGATGGAGGGGTGGGAGGGAGAGTGACAAGAAATATAAAGTGGTAGAAACTCATGTCAAAAGGGGGAAACGTGTGAGAGAGCTAAACTGAGCAATGGTTCACCGATTATTTTGTACTGACTATATTTAGGACTCATTTATAAAAGGTTGTTTGGCTACAGGGCTGTGACTGATGGTTTCTTTGTCAGGCAACTGATAATGCTCCGGACATTCGAAAAGATCACAAAACAGCTAAATGGGTCAGTTTTAGACTTGGCTAAAATGCATGTTTAATGTTGTTGGTTTTTTTTTTTTTTTTTTAAATTGAGGTTTGCTGCTGACAGGTAGCTTAAACAGGTTTTATTATCAAACGTCTTAAAAGTAAAAGCAGCAAATTTGCACATTTAAAGGATGAAACCACTCTATTTTTTGGCATGTTCCTTCATGTGATAGGATTTCTTTGTACAATATCACATATGCTCCGTTAATTTGAAACGTACTTTGAACAGGTAGAGCTACATGTTACAGAAGAAGATTAGGGCCACTGAAATTCATACACACACACACACACACACA